ATTTTGATATGAAAGAGTAGGTCATGCTCTTTATAAAGACCATCAATTGCTTATTAATGATCATCCATTGCACAGATAGGAGCGGTGAAAGAAAATTCGTCAAAAATTGAATTTTCTGTGTAGGGACATAAAAAATCGGAAACTTGCAACAAAAATCGGAGCAGTCGGTATTGTAGGTTTTTTCACCAGCTCTTTCTAACTGTGCAAAGTTTGCGCCGATTGAACGTCTCTACGAAAAGTTACGATTTTCGAGCCAGCAATACAAAAGGATGATTTTGGTTTATTTTGGCATTTTTCAGGGAAATTGTAACTTTTCATAGAGACGCTCAATCGGCGCAAACTTTGCACCGTTAGAAAGAGCTGGTGAAAGAACCTATAATACCGACTGCTCCGATTTTTGTTGCAAGTTTTCGATTTTTTATGACCCTGCATAGAAAATTCGAATTTTGACTAATTTTCTTCTACAGCTCCTATCTACGCAACAGATCATTAGCAAGCATCTAAGAAGCCGTTATAAAGAGCATGACTTACTCCCTCGGAAAAAAATAAGAGCGTTCCAATAGGCTGGAAATTTCAGAAGTTATGAATTTTCGAATTTGGTGCGAAAGAACTTTCGGTTCAACCTAATAAATCAAAAAAATTGACTTTATAAAGATCTGTGTCCTATTTCATTGCATCGACAAAAAACGAAAGCAATAAGGTATCCCAAAAGATGTACAAGTTAGAACAACTTACAATTCCTACACGTCATCATCAACAATATCACTATCGCTAACGTCAGAGACAACAAATTCGCTGCCTGAAAGATCTTCTCCTTCTGTCAAAAGATCATCGGAGTAGAAGTAGAATTGCGTCAAAAATTCTGAGTCGAAAATAGATTTGAAACGTTTTTCTCCTTCTAAGCGCTTTTGTGTTTTTTTTTTCCTGGCCCTCTGGTAGCACCAGGAAGTCAGCAGGTAGCTGACCAGTTTATTCATACCATCTTTTAGGATATTTCAAAAGTCATACGATGACAGCCTGTCTGGACCAATTATAGCAATCCTTTAAATGAAGTTCTTAGATAACAATCTGTTTAGTAGAAGGTTGACAAATCTTAAGTATTTGCTTAGATGCTCTATCGTTGTACTTCTGCGTTGTGTTCTGACAACAGAGTAAATAGAATTTCTTTCTTCACCTCTGCCGTGCTAGTCGGAATGGGAACTAGCTTTGCTAGTAAGCCCATCAGATTTTTGCGGTAAGTAATGGGGAAAGAGCCAGATCGCATATGCTTTCGCAATATGGGAAGTAAATATTGCATACTTTTTTGGGCGTTGTAGAACTCTGGCTTCACCTCCTCTGGCTTACGTATTGTCAGCTGCCGAGAAAGCCGCTCAATTTCTTCTTCAACAGCATCTGCGGAGTAGCCGAAAAAAGTAGATACTATGCTGCGCGTTGGTTTTTTTTTTCAATATCATAGGTCATATTGTCACAAGGCGAGATACTTCCAGCAGCATGAAGCACAGAGTTAAGTTCGTACTCCAGTCGGGATCTAAGAGCAGTAGCTATGCTTTGTAATAACACCTTCCTTTGTTCATATCCATGTTCGTGAATTTAGCAACCTTAAAATCTTCAGCAACCTGAAGATCAGCAATGGACTTCTTGGACATTTCCTCATTGAGAGTAGGCAATCTGCTTGGATTTCTGATGTACGAATTAGAGAGTTTCGCTCAAATGTCAACTCTGTATCAATGCCGACAACATATTCGTCGGCGTAAGATTCTCCTTTTGCTTCGCTGTTGAACTGGAACACATGCGAGTCATCTGCGATTTTGTAAAGTATTCTGCCTGCCGCTTCTTCTTCAAATTGCCAACCTTTCCAAAACATTGAAGGATATTTTAATAACATGTTGTTCTCCTGAATGCCTCAAAGTTTTTGATTTATTGAAACCAACCATTCTCTACAATTAGGTGAGTATAGAGCGTTTTCACGAACATGACCTTCTTCAGCACTAGTTTTACAGAGTATAGATTCCAGAAATGGGCGGGTTTTTGTGTGAAGGTGTGAAAATTCACCAATCTCCCATAGTTTTTTTGAGTATGTGCTAAACAACTGTCAATCAAAAGCGCATTTTTTACTAAAAAAACACATAAACATTTAACAGCGACAAGCACGCTTAAGTAGACGCGTTCGCTCGCGTTTCCGTTAGTGATGATAACGATGTCAATCCACAGCACATTTTTTACTATTAGCTTGCTCCACCCAGCTCCACCAATGTATTGGCTTTTATCGGTTACCGGAGCAAATGATTTTTAGAGCCGGAAAGCAAAGAAGCCCTAACATGCTGTATACCATTCGAAAGCTGAAATCATGGAGAATCGACGTAGACCGTCGCCTTTTTTCTAGGTCCTCTGTATCGCGAGATATGAGGGATTTTATGTGCTTTAAAAATTAACTGATTTTTTGTCCTCGCTTTCTGCTCTCCAAATAAATTCTACGAGGATAAATAAATAATATGAATAAACATAAGTACCGTTTCTTTTGTAAATTTATGAGAGTACTTGTTGTTTGAGGTACTTAGCCTGCAAAACCTTTTAATAACGATTTTTATCATATTCTCAGAATACAATACCAATCTCAGCCCAGGTGAAGGGGGTCATCGGGAGTTTGGCCTCAAAGTGAAGGGGGTAAGATCCATCACTCCCCCTATCGCAACTATATTCTCGACTTCGAGTTGTCTTCCAAAGCTTTTCATGTGCCTGATTCCGAACATAGAGAATCCGCGAAAACCACGACAATCCCCATTTCAGAAAACTCGCAGGCCTGTTCTCCGGAACGGTGATTGAACGTCGTGCACGGATGAGCGGACATTACTGAAGGGCGCGATGTCGACTGGGGTCCATACACCTCTCTCGACTTGGGGTTTACATACCTCTCCCCTTCGCTATTCCGAAGTGTTCTTCTTGCTTCCAAAGCGACAATTTGCGCTGGACTTGGGCATTGGCTTAATAGTGGGTCCTACTTTCGTAAGCTGTCAAGAGCTCAAGACCCCTAACTTAGGGTGGACGGTGCCTTTACGGGCTATAAGCAAGCGATTTTGCGCCAACGTTTTGGCTTGATTCTGATTGAGCCAGACATAAAGTCTACTGAAAGACTAAAGTGCAGAAGCAATTTTAGTCGAGCGGGCACGAACGCGGCGCGAGCATGTCTACACTGTTGTAGGCCTTGCGCCTCATGTGCCTTAACGTTGATTTTAAGTTTATCATCTTCTTTGGAAGTATCATTATGCACAAGAGCTTATCTCATCGCAAAAATTTCAGAACACGAGCTTGGACATCATCGAATGTAGGCGGGCACCGAAAAATCGTGTTATAGGCCGTCCGCGCAGGGCGCGGAGAGTGCGCTAGGTGTGTATTGCGCGTCACTTCTCTTTCCTCGTGCACTCTCGCCGCCTGTTTTCTCTGCGCTTCTTCCAATCGTGAACTGCCCTCAATGTACGCAACAGCGTTGCTCTCCGTGCGCAGCGCGAACGGCCTGTACTGACTTCGCACTCCATTCGTCAATTTGTAAAGGATGGTCCACCAGTTTTTGCATCATCGCCTTTCACTCCTTTGCCGCTCTTTTTCACAGAAACTGCTGCTTTCCCATCGAAAGAGGAAGTCAACGACTGCCTTTTGACAAACGACTTTTTTCAGCAGTCTACCAGTGGACTGTGAGGAATCAGCCGTCTATCTTTCCGATGCCCAGCTACCTCGGCATTGTCTGAAAGAATCCAGTTTCTTTTTTTTTTTCGAAAATGCGCCGACTTAATGCTGAAGTTGAAAATAGGTTTGAAAAGCAACTATCACATCCAGAACATCATGCGCTGGACAACACATCGAAGGCTCAAGCACTAACCCTTTGCACGAGTGCTGAATAAACGCTTTCAAAAAAGCAGACTTCCGAAACGACGAAAGGCCTTTGGACATTTGGAAAAAATAAAAGGAATATAACTTGTCTAATTCCAGAATGCAGTAAATTCAGCGTATAACAGACATATCAGACCTTGATACTGTAGCTTCACATAGGGAAGCAGTGCAAAGAACTGCAAGGTTGTGCAAAAAAGAGTTCTGCTCAAGTTTCGTATGATTACGGCGGCCCCAAAAACGGCTTACCACAGCTGAAGCAAAGGAAGGTTTCTTATAAGAAAACGATCTTTTTTGGGAATGTAGTACTAGAGCAGTGGCCAACAGAAGAGCCCCCCCCCCCCTCCCCGAGAATAGGTCGCCAAATCTTTGAAACTCACTTTCATGGGTTATAAAAATGTGCAGATGACTTCTTTTTTCTTGTTAATTAGAATATTTGAATTTGTTGAAAATACAGATTAACCTTGTAAAAAGGTCATTTCGGGCGTGGTTACAGCCACGCCCTTTTCTGTATTTTGAGGGTCATGGGATAGACTCGCAAGATTTTGAGAAGCACCCTGAGAGTTTTTTTGGAGTGCGTGGCTACACCTTCAACTGAAAAAAATCTTGCCCTCCCCCCCCCCCCCCCCCGGATGATGGAAATCCTGGGGTCGCCACTGTACTATAGTACGGTTTCCTTTATTAAAGACGCTCCTTCTAATTCAATAACTGGCGATATTTTGTTTGTACCTGTACGTGGAAGCCCTCGATGGTACCATAGGATACGGTACCTCGCAAAATGGCCAGTTTATACATGCAGAACGCCTTCTGAATCCACTTCTGAAATTGAGATCAATGCACTGTGAAAATTTCGTCGTGCAAATACTTCCAAGCTTCAAAAAGGCGAACATCTTGAGAGTCAACATTGTCTAACATTGATTTTCTTCCGCGCAAAAATAACCAGAAAGCTAACTGAAGTGCTTACCTTTCATTTGTGATCCAAATTGGTTCGCCAGTGTGACGAAAAAACGTCCCATCTACCGTAGCTTCGTAAATCCCTGGTGTTTTAGTGTCATTCCAATAATCGAATCTGAAATATTATGTCCTTTCGCCCTTGTCTACATAGCATTGTTGCTTACATTCTGCCTCTCGATCTATCAAAGAAAACATTCGAAACAACACCATGGCTCTCAGTGTATAGCCCTGAAATCAGGATCATGTTCTTGTGGGAAAATTCAAATCATAACTCTACCTGTAGATATTGCCATATGGTTTACAGCAGTAAAAACAGGAAATTGAGGGGCTATTCCGTTGATGAAATGGGCTCCTGAGGAGGTCCATTCCGCTAGATTTGGTACCTTCAAGATTGTACTAAGCACGTTACATGAAGAGTTCTTCTTTCTCACCAGTCTCGAATCCAACAGGTCATATCGAAAACCATCAAATGAGATAATTATAAGCTTTGGATGCTCACTGAGTGGTGAGATTGGGGTGATTAAGTATAGAAAGTAAACAGCAGCGTAGTTCATAGAGCCTCTAAAAAGGATTTCTCTTATTAAGAAGTTCGAAGAAATATTGAAAACTAGCTGGCTTACACGGCTCCGCCGTATGTTCCGAATAGAAAATTCCATTTCTTAACCGATCCGGACCAAACTTGGCACACATACACTTCGGGCCCCGGCGGGTGTCACAGTCCACTTTTCGTTATCGATTGATGTCGATTTTATCGATTATTTGCAAAATTTGAGCTAGGGGGCTGGAATTTGGCAGAGGGGTGTAATCGAGCATGCTGATCACCCCCACGGGGGTGATCAGCATGCTCGCTTACCCCCCTGTGCTAACTCCCAGCCCCGTAGCTCAAATTTTGCAAAAAATCGATAAAATCGATATCGATCGATGATGAAAAGTAGCCTATGACACCCGCCGGGACCCGAAGTGTATGTGTGCTAAGTTTGGTCCCGATCGGTTCAGAAAGGGAATTTTCTATTCGGAACATACGTACAGACAGACAGACAGACAGACAGACATACAGACAGACAGACAAACAGACATTCAGCTTTATATATAAGAAGATACTGTTACAGCGTGCAAATGAAACTCAAATTGATTAATATTTCATTCTATTGCTTCCCGTAAAAGAAATGCAGATGGAAAAGGGGAGGGGGTAAGGGGGAACGATTCTGAAGTGTTTGACCATTGGTCCATAAATGATGGTAGTGATTCACGCTCCCATCTAAATTCACCATGCAAAAGCGCGAGCAGATACATTGACTAGGTTTCTCAAAAACTGCACCCCAAACAAATCCACTCAACTTCTGTCGCGCAAAATTTGAGGAATGATATGTTAGTGATAATGACTTTGTTGATGTAAACACATTTGATATATAGCTGTAACTGTATAATACTTCTTTGTTTGTCCTTTCGGATAGTAAAGGAATCCCTCAAGCCGTTCTTAAGCCACAACAGTGGCGATCAGGATCAGGCAAAAGAAGACCGCTTATCGATTGAAGAAAAGAAACACTGTTTCTGAAGAAAAGAAACACTTTCCACTGTTCAAGGGGAAGAAGAATCCTTCCACGGGTCAAGGACAAGGAGGAACTCTACGCCACAGGAAGACTTAACGTCAAGACTATCAAGGATCAAGAACAAGGATGAGCCGCAATTACGACACTTCTTCAGATGAGTTATCAGTTCCAGTAGAAGCTATAACCGATTCACAAAGAGTGAGATTTTCTTACCAGAGAACCAACTATGCCCAATGTGACAGAAGAAAAACATGGCCAAGACTGGAGAAGATCATGGGAATGATGGCAGAACAGTTGCGTCTCCAACGCGAAGAGTTTTTGGCACTGTTCAACAGTTTTGCGAGAGGCCAGAATGATGCTGCCGTCCAAGATGCTGGGAAGGATCAATCTAGGATCAACTCAGCAAAGAAATTCAGAAGTTTATTTTCGACGAAGACACTGGAAACATATTCGCATACTGGTACGACAGGTATGGTCCAACTATGAAAGACGATGTTTTATCAGACAATAAAAAGCGGGACTTGATCCTCATGAAAAACGACGAGGATTCACATTGGAAATATGCCAATGGCGTCCTTCCGTTGAAACCATGCGAGATTGATTTCGAAGAAACAGTTGCGAATTTGCAAAAGCTATTCGCATTTAAGAAGAACCGTACTGTCTTCATTGCCGAATAATCCACGCGCGCCGACGATATGAGTGTCTCCGGGTCACTTGCCCAGCACTGACGTCAACCTACGTACCCTTTAGGGAGTACGCGAACACCAATTAAGAGAATGGACGAAGACGCCAGATTCAAAGAGGTGGATTATACGACAATGAAGACACTACGGTTCGTAGCAGGTCTTCAGGACCCCTCACCTAAGGAAGTCAGTCTAAGAATGATCTGCAAACTGGACACCCACACGGAGGACACACCATTGACAATAGAAGATCTTGTTAACGAGTGTGAAAACTACACCGCATTGAAGATGGGCAACACAGACATGGAAGGGGCTCGAGATATTCATGCTGTGTGGAAGAAAAAGGTAAAGTGCTTCAACTGTGCAGGACCGCACAAAAGAAGCGAATGCCCTCGCCTCCTCTCTGCTAAACGTAAGAAGCGAAAGGAAGCAGTGACTCAAACTCATGGTTATCAGAAGAAACGGTGCAAGAAGGTTGTCGCGTTTAGCGCCGAAAACGCGCGTCCCTATCTTGACGTCACTATTCAAGGATGTCCCATACGTTCCAACTTGACACTGGCGCTGGTATAAATTGATATCACGCCGAGCATGGAAGAAAATAGGATAGCCAACCCTGGAACCATACATCTCTGATAATCGCCGAAGGCAGGCGGCCATGCGAATTTTGAGCGAGCGGGCACCGGAAAAATAGTTCGCTGATTTCATGCGGTCCGCTTGCAGAAATTTAAAAGAATGTTGGCCAAATTTTAGACGAATGCTCGAAAAACAATTGCGGCTTCTTCACAGATTGGTTGCGGCACAGTGGCCGCATTCTCGCGCACTTTTCGCGAGAATATGCAAAAGTATTGAAGGCCGCACGGTTCTTTGCGAAGGACCGCACAGCCCGTAGGTACCTTCCGCGAAGGTGAACAAGTATCACTGTCGTATGGTGACTCAAGATAAAAAACTGAGAGCAGGAGTGATCGCTAACGTGAAGAGAAAGTACGCAGATGTCTTCAAGAGTGGACTTGGGAAATGCATAAAGACTAAGGCGAAATTGTACCTGAAGGACAATGTAGGTCCTGTATTTAAGAAAAAGCGGCCTGTCCTTTGCGTCTACAAAGGAACTGGAGTTAGAAATCGACCGGTTGGTGGCCGTGGGAGTGATTTCTACAGTGGAACATTCGGATTGGGCAGCACCAATAGTGGTGGTGAAGAAGAAGAACGGAAAATCCGTTAGTGTGCCAACTTTTCAACAGGCCTGAATGATGCATTACAAATGCACCAACACCCATTACTCACCGCTGAGGATGTATTAGCAAAGCTAAATGGAGGCCAGCTGTTTACATATTGACTTAGCAGAAGCTTATTTGCAGATAGAGGTTGATGAAGCACCAAAGAAATGCTAACGATAAACACACGAAGGATTATACCGCTATAATCGCCTAACCTTCGGAGTCAAATCTGCGACCGGTATATTCCAGAAGATCATGGACTCAATGATATGTGGACTAGAAGGAGTAGCCGCTCCCAGATGATGTTATCGTTACCGGAAAATTTTATGAAGAACACAAAAGAATTTGGATGCACTGTTCAAAAGACTTGAGGAATACGGCTTTCACGGCCAGCTGGAGAAGTGCAACTTCTTGATGCCCGAGATTTGCTATCTTGGATGCATTATAAACAAGAACGGTCGCCACCCAGATCCTAAGAACACTGAAGTAATCCGCGTGCCTGCACCAAGGAATATTGCGGAACTACGTGCTTTCTTAGGAATGTCGGTTATTACGGGTCGTTTGTTGCAGAAATGCATCAGTTACGCGCACCATTGATTGCATTGTTGAAGAAGAACGTTTCTTTTAAATGGACGGAAGAATATGAGAAAGCATTGAACAGTGCCAAGGTAGTTCTTACTGCTGATCTGCATTTTCGGTGGTCGCTTTGAAAGCAATAACCATTGTGGCCTTTCCGAACCGTTCATTTGCTTTTTGAAACCGTGAAAACGGCAACCTGACACGGGAATGGTCAGAAGTCGAAGTGACCAATCAAACAAGCTACATACTTTTCGATGCGGCATAGAACGCTCATTTCAAATCTGTCTTCCGTATCTGCAACAAGACTTTGTAAGCGAACTTATGAGCATCTTTACTGCGAAAAAATCGTACACAAAAATTGCGAAATTAGGCACACTATTAGATACGGGCCATATGAAATGACCTACTTGCATGTTTTGGTTCAACACTGAGCCGAGAACGGCTTTGTATGACCAAGTTTGCCCTTCACACGCACGAATTGCAAAAATGGCCTTCAATGGCTTTAATTTCATTAACAAAAGTGTTCTAGATAAGGAAGACAGATTTAAAGTCAGCATTTTATGCTGCATTCAATGGTATGCAGCTTGGATTGGCCACTTCGGTTAATGGCCTAAGGCATACCTCCCGCGATCCCAGTCGCGTCGCTAACTCCAACTCGGACATATGTTTCGAGTCCGCAGCGCAACTGTAGGGTCCCGCCGCGTCTGTGCTAGATTGACGCCGCGACGGATCGCGGGCCGTTTTTGGACGGGCATACCTCAGCAGCGAAATCGTCGCGACATCGCTGAAACTCAGCGATGTCGCCGTCGCTAGGTCCGACCCAGCGATGAGCGAATCGCTCGGATAGCTTCTTCTTTGTTATGAAGTTTTGTATTTTTTTGCAAATGCGAATTTCATTTAGGACTATTCCATCTCACACAAGCGCTTCCTCTCTGCATGAGAGAAGGTAGGTCATGTAACATTCCATACTATTAATCCATGAGAACAAGACATGTGAGTCATATAGTATGGATTGCTTCCCACATGTCACCTCACCCTCTCTGTTAGCATTTACTGTTCTCGCAATGTATTAATCTTCTCTGTTCTACCGAGGATGAGAAGAAGCTCTATCGCCGACCAAGGAAAAGAAGAAGCCTTCAGTCGATTTCAAGGACAACTTCTCCAGATAAGTTCCATTTAACAGCTGGTATCGATCGACGAGATTTCTTCCCTCTCGTCGATCGATACCAGCTGTTAAATGGAACTTATCTGGAGAAGTTGTCCTTGAAATCGACTGAAGGCTTCTTCTTTTCCTTGGTCGGCGATGGAGCTTCTTCTCATCCTCGGTTGGTGGTGGAGTTCTTCTTGTCCTTGATCCTGATCGCCAGTTGATGTAGAACGCGTTGAGCCGTTGACGATTTATTAGAAAAACACAAGAGTTCCCTTTCTGCTTATCGGCGTACATGCCGAGGGTTCACTAGAAATATTTCCATAACACCACGCAAGTATATCAAGGCGCGGCGGGTGCGCCGCAACCACAGAGAAGTACTCTGCGTTGATACCACTGCTTGAGCAAGTTCCAATATAAGGCACGGCTCTACAACACAGTTGCGGCTTCTTCACAGATTAGTTGCGGCGCAATGGCCGCATTCTCGCAAACTTTCGCGAGATTATACAAAATCATTGGGACCGCACGGTCCTTTGTGAAGGACCGCACAGCAGGTGAGTAAAGTCGCCCTCACCCCACTAGTCGGTTGGTGGAATTCGAATTCGAAATTTAGCAGCCAGGTCGCGGCAGAGCACGGCACCCTAGCTCTCCGTTCAAACTCACGCATTCACTTTGCGTTCTTCTTCGCCATTGCTCATAAGTTTTTGGTATTGTTTCACAGTATTTTATATTGAGTTTCTGTAATTGCTGAGCGTTGTCTCCTGCCGCTATGCTCGTATTTTGTTTAAAGGCAGTGGGTCGGCAAAACTCAACAACTCAAAATTTTAACGCGGTAGACTCCTTATTGCCCAAGTATGAAAACACTGCAATTCCGGTTGCACAGCATGCCTTCCTTGCCGAGAAAATTGCTCTCAAACTTACACGCGCAGGCCATTCTTACACGCATCCGGACGAGTGGCAACTTTCTTCTAACCATTGAAGGCTGCCCGCCGCAACGCTATAACCATTGGGTCCTGCAACGATTCGGCGTCATCAGCCTTGCAGCACTCGTCCAATTCCAAAGGGAAGGGCATTGAAAAACGCTCTTTTCGGCATTTTCAAGCTCTCAAAAGTGGATTTTCGGGAATCAGCGTATTGAATAACCCCAGGTAAGCGGAAATTTGACTAGGTTGAGATTTGCCGAGCCACTGCCCTTAAGTGAGCTTTTGGAAACGATACAGATGGCAAATTTGGAGAATACAATTCACTGGAGCAAAATTCTGCATATGTTACTTACTAAGAAAGGTTTTACAGATAAGTTCACCATTTATTGTTTCTCCAGGCTTACCTGCAATCAGAGGTGAAAAAACGAACTTCGCAACACGAAACAACTTCCGACGACTACAAAATTGTCACCATCTACAAACATACTTATAGTATACAGACTAGCAAGTAACCAATAAAAACGATTAGGATATACGCAAAATCATACGGGGGTGGGGGTCAGATGCCACGCTCTGCCGCGACAGGCCTGCTTCAGTTCAAATTTGGGGTAAGGACGACCATGCCTTACGCTGGGAGAAAGTACCCCAAACTCGCGTAATTGAACCATTGATGACACCTCTGTCACACAGAGTCTCACTTTTGTTCGGCATACGCCCGAAACTGCGTAAAAAAAAGTTCGAGCGCCTGCTGAAAGTTTGATCAGCGCTCGCTGAAAGAGATTATTTAATGAGGGCTTGCAGAAAATTTTGTATTACTGCCCGCTGGCAGAATATGCGACCTTAAAGGAAGTGCCGCCCGCTGAAGGTTTGGCCACGCCCCAAAATTTCGCTGACCGCTTGCGGAAAAGCGCGAGTTTGCGTTCCGCCTGCCCCCGTGATTGTCTGAATATGTAGAGGGTCGGTAGAAAGTCCTTGAACAATTTTCGATGTCCTTGTATGCTCGGCTTTTCCACAAATTTTTATACGCTAATTATATGTTTTTGCTTATCAAACCTTTGAGTACAAGCCCTCAAAAATTTGGACTATCAGCTTTTTCCTATCAGAGATGTGCCTTCCGGAATGGAGCGAGTTTGGTGGAGAAGATGCACGAGGAGAGGATGGCTGACCAGCAAATTGCGCGGGCTCCCCAAATTACACGGATCCGGGTCTTTTTCACTCTCGTTTCCAGGATATGAAAAGCACCCAGGACTGTTGTATGAGTGCTAAGGTTACTGCGAACAGTAATGAGATCCTGAAAATCGTTCGCCAATGCCTTCGTCGCAATCCTCGGCGAAGCTTGATTGAGCTGGCTTCAGAGCTGTCCATCTCGGCAGGACAGTCGCCGGCATTGTCAAAGAGGTCCTTGCGATGAAGCTTATCAGGATGCTAAAATTTCATGCTTTTTGGGAGGACACGAAGCTCTATTGACTGCGCAGATGCCATCGACTGCTTGTACGTCTCTCCAAGGTACGCAACAAAACGGCACTTTTTTTCTGACGATAAAATTTTTACCGTAAAACAGGTTTTCAATCTCCAAAACACCAGAATCGTATCCTAATCGCTCTGAGAAGCCATCAGCGTCGGTTGCCTCGCTAAAGTAAAGCCTCATTCGGCTTTTCCGATGGTTTGGGTGGCGATCACTTCCGGCGACAAGATGCCACTGTTCTTAGAGTTTCAGGGAATCAAGGTGGACGCTGCTACGTAGTTGGATAGCATTCTGAAGAAGCAACTGATGTCCTGACCAATATTCATTTTGCAGGGAAAAATTGGTGCTTCCAGCAGGTACCGCACCTGCGCACACAGCAAAGGTTGTTCAAGCATGGCTCCAAAGCAACTTTAAGGTCTTCACTACTCTTGCGGAATGGCCTCCGTTTTCGCCCAATCTGAATCCCTTCGACTATAGAGTCTGGTCAGTTCTTTAGGCCAAAGCCTGCGCTCACTCACGCACGACAGTAGAGTCTCTGCGACTTGCTCTTCAGAAGGCGTTGGAAGAAATCGACGTGAAGGACCTCCGTGCCACCATGGACAGCGTTCCCAAGCGTTTTTGAGCTTGTGCTGGCGTCAGAGGAAGAATCTTTGAATTGTAATGCCAGTTTCTATAGCAGACAGTTAAGTAAACATTACCTATTGCTTTCATGTGATCACCTTGCCTAGCTTCATCATTACGTCAAAAATACCGTGTTCAGAGACTTTACTCCAACCCTGTACAAACTATGTGAAGTTTGGAAACGAAAAAAATTAGAGGCGTTTTTCGAAGACTAAATGGATTTCGAGAACTTTTGGGGTTTTAAGCCATAATGAAGCCGTTAGCAACCTAGACCATGCAAAATGATCCGAACTGTGTTTAAATTATTGCTAAAGATTTATTTAATTAACTCATGAAAAAAGAAATGAAATTTAAAATCAACTTGAGATTTGACGCCCTCACAAATTTTGACAAGCCGCAGTGCGCAAGAGTGCTTAGGGCAACCGTCAATGACTAAAAATTCGAGACCTCAAAGTTCGCCGGGACTTCGCGTAATGGAGTTATTTGACCAAACAAACACAAATATCATAAACATTTGTTGAATCAACGCCATTTTTCTTGATTAGGGTAAGACCATCAACCATAAACCTACAACACTCACAAAAAAAACCTTACCATGCAATTTTAGTATAGTTTTCCTGATCAGCATGTCAAATAACCCCAGTATACCAAGTTTTAGCCAAATTCGCAGAATTTTGAAATTTTTCTCCTTGTACCATGTATTTGCCGCAACCCTGACTGGGACATCAGAGTTTAGCAGGAGAGTAGCTGCTTTTGTTGCTTACGGCATATTCCACATGGGCGCAAAATTTGAGTGCGCCATGTTGAAATTGCCCCTAACTTGTCCCGCGCTTATTCACACTTTCCAATATTTAACAATGCTCAAAAGTGCATAGAGGGAGGAGTGTGGTAACCAAAAATGAGTTTTCCAAAATGAGACAATATTACGCTTGGACAAGTCTGAAGAACAAAGCGCTAGATTGGTAAACATCTACCCTCACCAAAATAAGCCCACTGATTACTGCAAACATTGAGCACGGTTGTGAACAGCATAACTAAAAGCTTTACTACCGATTTTGAATCAATTAAAACCTATCCCCTACCGTCACCTAAGTAAAATACCAGAAGGCCCACCATGTGAAATGGGTGTGTTCCTAATCAGCACGTCAATTACATCTATGTGCTTTGGGAACCATAACCTGCTACAATGTTCAGTGCCTTCTTGCATTCAAAAAGCGCGCGCCGTTCTTAAACATGATTAATTGAAACAAAAGATTTTCGAAGACGTTTTCGAAGAAAAAGGAAGCTGGAAATTTTTATATTCGTAACTCTAGGCAATAACGAGGCAGTAAGTTTACTAAACTCCCTTGGAGATAAAGTTAATGGCCTCAGAAACTACCCTTAGAAAGCCTGGCTGCCTGAGCTTTTGTGGTGCTTGTGCCTAACCCACTTAACTTACCTTCAAACTCCGTAATCCGCTCAATTTTTGTCATGATCAACAAGCTTGCCTATTCTCGCCACAATAGTGATTTGGCAAGTCCCCTCTCCTGAGGATCACCGTTCAGTTGTGTGCAATCGCAAAAAAAACAGGCGCACAAACTCAAAAAATTAAGTAACTCGCCACACGGGCTTGTTTCTCACCAAAATTCGACCCTTTGAGTAGTGTGCAAAGTGGGGTGGGGGGGGGGGGGGAGGATAGAGGTCTGTGGTCGACCTCTTGCTCAACTCTGGCTATAGCGTCTTACAATACAATGCGACTCCTTGGCTGGCTGCGTATCAGGTCCTATTTTCGGAACAACGCATCCAAAAGACCTTTCGTTTTTGCTCTTAACGAGCTGTCTTCGAAGATAGCAAGACTAAATTGATTTTCATTTGCGCTTAGCTCCTTGAATGTACATTTTGCAAGAAGCTTTGCAGAGATTTGCTATGAAGATCATTTCGAAAAGTAAAAAATTTTGGCGACAAGCCATGAAAGAAGCCAAACTTACCTGTTACAAAGGTCGCAAGTTCTGATAGCTGTGTACGACCTTTTCGGGTAAAATTCTTTTTTATAGTGAAATTCCCTTCAAATATTTTTTGAATGCGAACGATAAATCTCCTCCATTTGAGGACTTACGGCTAACCGCAACAAGGGAACACTTGAATCAAAATGAAACTCACTCGGAATAGTTCGCTATATGACCTCAGACATACCATAACAATGTTATCAGTGTTGCTCCTGGAACCGTTTTTCATTTTGAAGTTCTTACCTCTTTCATTGGTGCTCGGCTATGACTAGAGGTCTTGCTGCTTTATTTTACACACAATGCCGCCGGCTGAAAACTACGTTTCTCTTCTTGCCCTTTTTTGACGTACTATAGAAAAACTTGTTAATTAATCGAATTCACGAAGGGAGACGAATTCGAATTCACGGGACAATGAAACGCCACAAAGCTTTCATACAAAGCGGAACAGCGGCAAAAACAGTAGCAACACTTAAAGGCAGTGGCTCGGCAGATTCTCGACTTGTTTTTTTGCTTACCTGGAATAATTCGAGGTGCTGATTCCGAAGATCCGCCTTGATGAGCGCGATATGGCAAAAACCACCATTTTTCGAGGCCTCCCATTTTGAATTTGGACGAGTGGAGCACGTCCCGCCATGGTTAGACAGGCAGAATCGTTGCGGGACCATCGCAGTCATAACATTGCAGCAGGCCTTCTCTGACGGGTCAGAGAGAATCGCAAGCTCGTTCGCGCGTATTAGAATGGCTTGCGCTTAAGGCTCCGGGCAGACTTCACGCGATTTGGTCGTCGCGACTGAGTCGCGACGAGACAACTGATACAACATCATTCCATGCTGATCAACTTGCATTCGGTTGTGATACTTTTCCAGACCGAAATTTTTGAATGTGAAATGAAAATGAATGGAAATCTTGGCGATTTGGTCGCGACGATTAAGTCGCGTGAAGTCTGACCGGGGCCTTAGAGTTCATGAAGAATGCCCAAGCGAAAGAACCGAGGAGCACTCGGTTGAATGGAAACTACCTCAGTCAATGATCATTACGAGATCATGACTAACTTGTTAATTTGCATGTCGCTGGTCAGATAAGCAAAGCAGCCGCGGGTCGGCCGTACTCAGACCACGTTTTCAAATTAGGGCCGCGGGTCAGCCGCGATCTGGCCACGCCCCAAAATAAGGCCGCGTGCGGGCCGAAAAAACCTTTTAAGGCCGCGGCTCGCCCGCTTCCAGTGTCTGAGAAGATAATCGCCGGGGGCTGGCGGCGATGCGATTTATGGGCAGTCGGGGAGCGGAAAAATAGTTCGCTGATTTCTTGCGGCCCGCTTGCAGATCTTTGGAAAAATGTTGGCCAAATTTTAGGCGAACAATCGCGGCCTTTTTACGGATTAGTTGCGGCACAGTGGCCGCATTCTCGCGGGCTTTCCGCGAGAATGTCCAAGGATGTTGACCGCACAGCCCGTAGGTACTTTCTGTCGAGAGAAAGTACCCCAAACTCGGGTAATTTAACCACCGGTGACACCTCCGCCATGTAAAGTGTTACCTTCTTTCGGTGTGCGGCCGAAACTGCTTAACAAGAGTCAGAGCGCCCGCTGGAAATTTGGCCGGCGCTTGCTGAAAGGTATTACTTGACGACCGCTTGCAGAGAATTCTATATTGCTGCCGCTGGCAAAACATGCAACAGCAAAGGAAGTACCGCTCGCTGAAGGTTTGGCCACGCTTCAAAATTCTGCTGACCGCCTGCAAGAAAGCGCGAGTTTGCGGACCGCCTGCCCCCGGCGATTGTCTGAGTGGATGCTTTATCACTCACTGCTTGGAAATGGCCTATCACGTCATATTATTCCTTCATCCTACTTCGTTATTTTGAGCACTATGCATACCTTTGGTGATAGTATACATCCGATCAAAGCGTCAATGATATGTGTGAATCTTCTCAAAAACAGATAAAAATCATCAACAGAACAATGCGCACTTTTCATCCTACTCCATCCATATCCGATAGTATAGCAACAAATTATGTGCGGGAGTTTTTGAGATATAGGTTTAAAGTTAAATGCATTCTAGTCTTATTCTAATATTAAGTATTCATTTTCCTGTCTTGTAGTAATGTAATGATTTTCTTTGTATAATGGCACATTACTATTAAGTAATGTATGAATAAATAAATAAATTTTAATGTGATCCTGCGGTAAAAATTGATTCTGGACTGCAAAATGAAAATACAATTGAAAAAATCAAGCCGAATGTAATACAAATACTTATAATCAGTTTGAGAAGGTATATCATGTGTTCATTAAGTGGAAGGATGTCTGAATTGCCGCAGGAGTATGCCCATGAACAAGAACTAACAATTTATTCGCCGCGATTTCGTTGTCACTTGCAGGAAATCTCGACGATGAAATCGCGTGATGTATGCCTGGACCTTTAGTCGCTGTTAGTTGCGTCGGAAAACTATAAGGCCGGGCATACTTCACGCGATTTTGCTCGCGGCGCGATTTGGCAATATTCCAATGTCCATAACCAGAGTCAAGCGTGGGGTGTGGCATGCCACACTTGGGGGAGTCGTATTGAGGAATCAGGGAGGGGTGGGGGGGGGGGGGCGTTATCAAGACGCTTGCTGTTCGCATAACATGATATTCGTTAACAACGTCAAATAGGCCCGTCATGCAAAATACTAGCACATTGGTGTTTAACACATTGTCGTGTACGTATAATACGCATAATTGAAGATCTATAAAGCATAAGAGCATCGTTCTGTAATTAGCAAGTAAAATAACCCTTGTTGTCCTAGTTTCAACGAAATCTGAGGTTTCCAATTACAGGACCACCTAAGTGAGGTGGTTGTTTTCCAAACATGTTACTTTGTTTCAAAGGCAAGTTAACTACTTCTTTTTGCGCGTAATACAAAGAAATACCATTTTCTTGCTTACAGTAGGAATCCTACTTCAAATGACCTCCAAATTAACGAATTAAGAGCAAGCCAAAATCCCGTTTGTTCCATTTTTCGTTTCCATTATCTCAGGCTAAAGAAGACCAATCAGGCTCAAATCACTTTTATGTAGATTACGAGGCTTAGGCCTCGGGCAGAGTTCACGCGATTTGATCGTCGCGATTCAGTCGCGACAAGACAACTGTTACGAGTCATTGCATGCCGACCACTTGCATTTCGGTTTTGATACTTTTCCAGCCCGAAATTTTTGAATGTAAAATGAATGGAAAACACGGCGACTGAATCGCAACGATCAATTCGCGCGAATTCTGTCCGAGGCCTTAGGCTATCAAATATATACATTCTTGTCGCCTTTCCTTGCGATTCACGTAGTAGCGCAGACTTAGCATGTTACCGTATCCCAATATTTTCGCAGTATTTTACCAGTATTTTACATTTGCATAGGTAAGGTTTAGGATTATATCTTGCTAACGATTATATCTTGCTCTTGGGAGAACGTTTTTATATGAAATTTCTGCTATGTAAAGAAGAAGGTTAAGGAGTAACAACGATGTGAAAAAAGCACGCTTTGATCTGTTCAAAGCTAAGTTAATGGAGTGTGGCAGCCACAACTTTTTAGGGGCGGTGCCACATCCCATTAATTATGCCAAAAAACATTTTCAGCGAACGTTATTTATATGAATCGATAGCTTAGACCTCGTAGATTTCATAGGAGTGATTTGAGCCTGGTTTGTCTTCTTAGCTCTGAGTAATATTTGGTGAAAGCACAGCCATTAAAAGCGAAAAATAGGAAAAACAAGATCTTGGTTGGCTTCTAAACAAAGTTAGGAGGCCTTTTGAAGCGAGATTTCTGAAGTGGCCAAAGAAGGAGTAGTGTTTATCTTTATTGCAAAAACAGCTAGCTACTTCACCTTTAAAACAAAGTTAATCATGCTGGAAAATGGCGATTTCATTTGGGTGACTCAGTATCTTGAAACTTCAGAATTCGCTCAAACATTGTCTACAAGGGTTAATTGACATGCTAATTATGGATATGTTGCCCGTTATGTTTGACAGGGCATCCAAGTAATGCTATCTTACAAGGGAACGATACTCGGTGTCCGTGGCCTTTTGAGATGAGATGTATACCATTACACTCGTCTTGGAACGCTGATTCCAAATCTTACTTCCGTTTCTGCTAATCGCTTCAAAGATGTTATCATGAATTGCGCGGAATTTGGCTGCCCAGTGAAATATTGTCGGAGCGCCATACCATAGGTGCGCTGTGGTCTAGTGGTTAGTGCGATAGGATCATGAGCTGATTCCAGGTTTAAGTTCGAGTCCTTTTGTGTTTTTTAGTTTTGCGTTGCCTCAATTAACCTTCTTTCACATCCTCAAGCTAAGTGAACGCCCTTACTCTTGAAAAAATGTGGAATTTTGGAAAAAATGACTACTGTTTGCGCTAAAATGTATTCGATGGTCATAAATTGAGTAAACGTTCTCGAACAAGCTTAATTGAGGCAATGCAAAAGTAAAAACACAAAGGATTTAAACCTACACCTGCATCAACTTATGAGGCTATCGCACTAACCATTAGACCAGAACGTGGTCGCGGTAGAGGGCGTTCCAATGATTATATTTCCCTTAAGCGGCCAAACTTGGATCGAAATTCCTCCATAACTTCTTTCAGAGAAACGATTAGCAGAAACAGAAGTCAGATTCGGAATCAGCGTTCGAAAACGAGTGTAGTGGTATACATCTCGTCTCAAAAAGCCACGGACATTGAGTATCGTTTCCTTGTTAGGTATCTTTTTCAGGGGGTCTTATTGAGACAGCAATAAGAAGGAAGGGGTTGTAACCATTAATCGCATGCCACACCTCTTGCTTGACCTGTCCATAGCTCACGGTAAGCACATTTTTTTGTACAGAAGATAGGGCATTCTAATCAATCCACGTAAGTTATACACACTATGCATGTGCAGTTTGCCAGTATTGGATCTGAAGACTTCTGACGGATTGCCAAATAGCGTCGCGATTGAAATCGCGAGAAGTGTGCCCGGCCCTTATCACAACCGATGCAAGATGACCAGCATGCAATGAATATGTAACATTTGTCTTGTTGGGAGAATTGCGAGGCGATGAATTCGCGTGATGTATGCCCGGCCCTTTAAGCGTTAGGCGACAAAAGGTGTAAAAAACAAGCAACG